GTTAATATAGATCGATCTAATATTCCAAAGAGCATCTATTTTCATCCTGAAATTCAAATGACCTTGCATGTGCCTGTGTTTAAATGATTCCTGTCCTAGTAGAAAGATGGCATTGCTACTATTGTTATGGGTCTCTTATCAGCTGGCACATATGTGGTTGGCACAGCGAAGCCTGGATTAACCATGAAGTTTCCCAAGTGGAATAAATTAGGAAGAGGGTCAAGATGACAATAGGAGAAGAGGTTTAGCTTGCTTGTAGCTAGGCAAGGAAGTTGAGGGTGAAGAAAGCACTCCTTTCAATCGCAGTGAATTATTATTCCAACCAAGAAAGAGGCAGCCTTGAAACTTTGGGGAAGGTGAAGCAAGCACGGAATAGGTTGCCAGGGTTTTAGGAATGATGTCAAATTTACTGACATGATGGAGAGGGTCCGGTGCACCTCTGTTTTAAAAATCTGAGGTACACACCAAAGCGAGTGAGGTATATTTATCTAATTGAAATCTGTAGAAGTTACATCTGCAAACTTGGGCAGTGTTAGAAATCCAAGCTGCTTTTTTAAAAACAAAATCTAATAAGCCCCGGACATTGACAGTGTTAATTTGCATATCCATTCAATCCACATTTCAGTTTCCTCCAGACCCATAAAAGGACAGTCAGTAAAATTTACAACCATTCAACAACATAAAGAAAATGAAGGGGTTGGAAGCATGGGTTAAGGAAAAACAAAAACAGGTACTGTGTTGGCGCAGAGTGAACATGAACTTTCACAGTGATGAAATCCAGTGGGGCAAAAAGATCAATGAAAGAGCAGAGACAAAACAAAACATACCCAGAATTAGTAACAAACTGAAGTTGGGGGTGTGATACTGGGGCTTAACCAAAGGATACTAAACATGATTCTAATGAAATTATGTTCAAGCTTTTTCAGTAACTGTCATTATTGGGCTTCCTATGTGTAAGGATAAAAAGAAATCTAAGGACTTCTAGACAGACATAAAATAAGCTTGGGGGCAGTAATTAGCTCTTATTATGCTAGGAAATAAAGAATGGCTGATTTCAGTGACTGAATGAAATACACTGTCAAATGAATTTCCCTTCCTGAACCTGGTATCCCCTTCAGAGGTGTTCAACTATAATTCCCATAACTCCCTAGCTGGCATGGTTACGGTCTGGGAATTATTGGAGCTGTAACACTTCCAAAAGACTCCAGGATGGGAAAGCTGAAGTGGATTTTCTAGAATAAGAACCCAAGAGGTTTCTTTTCTATCTAGTGGAACTAATTGCCAGTAGAAGACTGTGTATTTTATTTCTATAGACCTTTCTAGATGTTGTCATCTTATGCAGGAACCTTTGACATTGTTGGGAAGAATCCTGACTTTGATCAAATCTGGGCTCAGATCTAACTATCCAACCTACTTCTTATAGCAAATGTGTGGAATCATCTTCAAATGACACCCTTAAATTGTTTCTAAATTTGTGGCTTCCCTCCAAAGTACTCTGATCACTGTAGCTCTGTGAAAGAGCCAGGCAAACTGAGACTGGGGGGTTTACAGCCCATTCGGAAGCCAGCTGTGCCACTAGTATCACCTTCTTTATTTTTTTGGATCTGAAAGGGTTCGAGAAAGAGGAATGATTGTGAAAGGAGTGAGGGGGAAAAAGCAGGGCAAGGAGAAAGGGGATACAGGAAGGCAAACAGCAGGAAATAAAAATGGATACCACAAATGATGCCGTTCAGGTTAAACATGGCTCCTAGAGTCTGCAAAGATTAGAGACTGAAGGGTTAAGGAACTCTAAGCAGGTTCCCAGAAGGTACTGAAACTGCAATTACCAGCATTCATTGAAGAAAGCCACCTCAGGGGCTTGCTTTGTATTTAGGGAACTTGACCTTTATCTCTACGGGCAGAGGTGGGGAGGGGAGGGGAGGGGAGGGAAGAGAGAGTGGTTTTAAGTATAAGGAAGATGCCACACAACATAGCATTCTCCTTCCTACCCATTTCCCTACACTGTATGGCTCTGGTGGGTATATACAAAGATTAATGGCTGGCAGCTCACAGGTGGTGGCGGGATTTAAAGCAGAGGAGGGATATATAAGAAACCGTCCTCCCACCTCCCTTCAAAGTTCATGTTCAGCAGACAGCCACTCACCAGGTAAGCGGGCCTCAGAGCACACCTTATTGTCCAGAACTTTCACGCTTGCGTTGCCAATGTCATTGTTATTGTCACACTCCATACCTAGGTATGCGCCTGTCCTTTGGCCTGCAAAGGAGTTAATGCAGTTAGAGAGGAGATGAGGCTTTGTTTTAATTTTGCTCCTCCTTAAGGGAGCAGAAAACATGACACATTTCAGAAATGAAGGAAACCTCAACAATGGCCAAAAAGGTAGAGCAGCCTTCTCCAACCTGCTACCTCCCAGGTTCGCTGAAATATCAAGTCCCCAAATTCTCAATCAGGGGGTGTCTACTAGTTGGGAATTCTGAGGGCTGAAGTCTCCACATATCTGGAAGGCATCAGGTCAAGGAAGACTAAGGTAGAGAGTGGACAATAAGAGAAGGGGATGCAGCGGCCAAAAGCTACTGTGGCTGGTTTCCTCCCACCACCTCCATTTTCATTTCCTATTTCAAGGCTTTATCCTTGCCAATATGGAAAATATAAATGGCACCTAGGAAGTTATTTGATCTTGTCTGTAAAGGTATCAAATAAACCTGTTACAGAGCCACAGAGAAAGTTAAAGGAAAGTGCCTATTTTGTGCTTTAAGTTGCCTCTGGCTGGCATCTATGTCCTTTGGAATATTCTCAGCAAACGTAACACAGTAGAAACTTGAGTCTCTTGTAACAAGACAGCAGAACCAGTCTGGATACAATCCTCTCCCCAGGTAGTTCTAGTAACGTTTGGTCAACGGGCTCTGAGAATTCTCAGCATCTTCCCCAAAGCTACGGGTTTCGAGACTCTGGGCAAGATGCCAAGAGAAAGACAGGGATAGAAATCGTGGTAAAGGTTTATTTGTGTACATCGGTCTGCTGTTGCAAGCTTTGAGCAAGCTCAGCAAAAAACAAAAAAAAAGACTTCTTTTTCTATAAATCCAAAGTTGGTTTTCTCTCCCACTTCATGGTTTACTATTGCACTATGTTTTCATGTTTGTAATGGTAGTTTCAAGATCCTGTACAAGCAACTGTCATCTAAATATTTTTTTTTATTTTCCTACATTTCCAAAAATTGAATTTAAAAAATAGAACAAAATTTCATTTAAAAAAATAAAAGGGGGAATTCCCATTTCTATAGTGACCAATAACATTCATCAATGTGATACATTTCTGACTACACTGACAATGAACAGTGATCTACTCAACCATGGTGTTTATTTTAATAAGATTTGCCTTCATAAGATTTAAGATAACCTAATAGTGTTTCTTGTTAATATTCAGATTTAATTTGGACTGCAGAATGAAACAAAAGCGGAAACATGTAGAGGGGATGGCCTCAAAAGGAAATATAAAATTATTTTTAATAATAACAACAACTTGCCTGACCTTTAGATAGCTTCAAGGAAATGAATGGGAATTTAGCCATTCAATTTCAAAGGAGCAAGCTGAGACTTTGTAACACTAATCTTCAGTCTGCTCCTTGGAAAAGGAAAACTGAGTTTGGGGCTGAAGAAAATCCTAGGTGTCTTTCTCTCTTTAATGACACCAATTCACTGACTTTTGGACCATGATCTTACTAAATCCCTAAATTCTAATAATGGAACACATGAAATGATTCAATGTCAAGAGAAGAACAAAGACTACCTTAAAATATCAAACTCTATGGTTTGATTTTTGGGGGGGAAGAACTGCCTTTTTAATTTTGTTTTTGTTTTTATTGGAAACGTACAGAATGAAAATTACATCCCACCGTGAAAGAATAAATCTTAAAATCAGTAAGATGCTCCAGGATTGCAGGTTTTTTGTTTTATTAGAATGCCCTGCCAGCCAGATACAAAATGCTAACTTGAGTGGATATACAGTCAGAATTACAGAACTCTGCGTGTTCTCTTCAGGAATCTGGAACTTGGTTCTGAAGCTGATAAAAGTCCTGTCATCCAAAACAAAACAAAACAAAAAACCTAGTTTTGATTTCTCTCCAAATGTCTTTTCAACAATTAAATGTTGAATGGGGATTATTATTCTAGCCCTCGTTATTCTCAGACAGCTAGAGTCAAAAATCATTTGCTGATCTACTGCTTATCACCCAGATATCTACCTGTGGTTCTAACTTCTGCCCACCTTTGCTGAAAATAAACAAAGGAAAACAGGCAGGTCCCTATAATTCTGCATATTTTCAAACCTTCTTCTACCTGCTCATTTAAGGAAGAATGGAAGGCCTTCCATTTCAAACTACAGCAATTCCGTTAGCAGAACTGAGCTTGCCCAAGGGCAACGTTCCTCAGCCCTGCTCTCTGCTATGCTCAGGATGAACCCTGGCTGTGCTAGATGTGAAAGAGAACCAACATGGGGCATGAAGCAATGCTGTATTCTGTGTTACCATCTTCCTGTGTGGGAGAGGCATCATCTTCCTCCATGACGTCATTCCCCTGCCAAAAAGGATAAGGTGTGAATATATAAATGAATGACTCAGCATGTAGTGAGGATGATATTAAAATTTCCACAGCAGAGTCTATCCTCTGAGGTGCTTTGGGAAAGCTATATCCTAGGAAATCTTTTTGCAAGCACTTGCTTTAAAGAGCACATAGAATTGAAATGTTCTGAGCTGGCTGTACTATTCCAAATTATAAGGTTTGGAGTCACAGATCTGAATGTTGGAATGTAGACAGTCACTTTTTTCTTCTTTTTTTTTTTTTTGCACAAAGCACAATGTAAACTTCTTTTAGAAGTATGTTGCAGTAATTTAGAATAGACCAAAAGGAACAGTTACAATACAAGAGTCACACACAAGAAACTCTCATGCTTGACTGAATGAATTCAGCTGGAAAATCTTGGTGAACCCAACTGGATGGACTGCACAAAATGGAATGGGAGCCTAAATAATAGGCTCAGCTAACCATTCTGTCCACAGTGATCCAGTTTAAGTACATCAGGTTTCTCCAAACTAGCTTGTTTGCTTGCTTGCTTATTGATTTATTTATATGATTTTATGGCCGCCCATCTTATAGCAATGACTCTGGGCAGCATATAAGAATGAAAACCAACAAGAATCACATCCATAATCCAAATGTCCAAGGTGGTAAAAATAATTTCCAAGAACAATAACAACTAATCAACCAGCAGAGTTCACTTAACTTCCCAGCCCAAATGCTTGGGGGAATAGCCAGGTCTTTAATGCCTTACGAAAGGCTAGCAGGGGTCATCTGGATCTCTGGAGGGGTGCTCTTTACTTCTTCCAAAGGTAGTGGGGTTACAACTTCCAGAATTTAAAATCAGTATGAATAATGGACTTGCTAGCTGGGAATTCTGAGCCCAGCATATTTGGAGGAATTAAACTGATGGCCGAGTCAGGCCAAACTGTTCTCTAATTGATCCAGAATATTTCCTGCATCTTGTTGTTCTGTGAATGGTTCCCATTTCCTATATCAACTCCTCATTGCTTTAATCTGGAATACCACTAGTCACCTGGCTCCTGGTCCTATGAATGATTCCTAGCTATCTAACCTACACTTCTGGCTTTAACTGTTTTACTTTACCCTGTGATTTCCACTTGTGTTTTGCCTCGTACTAGGTTGTTAAAAAAGATTTTGCATACAAATGAAAACTGCAATTCTGGATCAAAGACAGTGCTCACTTCCCTCGGGTCCCACATGTCAAACAAGCTTTCAGATATAGAACTTTACCTCTGCATCTCGCTCCTCTGCTGAGATACTGACAAAATTTGCATCGGGAGACTCAACAGGGGTTGACTAAGAGAAGAGAAGAGAAAACTGAAAAATGCTGATTGATGACTACCCTATAAGCACAAAATATCATCTGCCAAATCGCATCAGTAGTACCAACCCAAGCACAACCAAACATTGCTTGTCTTTCTGGAATGCTAATTTACTTCTTTACTTCCTCCCTAAATGGGTATTTGAAAAGATACTGAGAAGATCTGCCAGGAATCATAGTTTCTGCTATTCCCAGAACAATGTCATAGTGGCTTGTTCTATCTTGGATAATATCTTGGATGTTAGATGTGTCCCAGTCAAGCTCCATTCAAAACATGGACTGGACTCTTTTTAAAAACCACTATGTGGGGTTTTCTTTAAAAGTGACGAGCATTATATGAAGTACTTTGCCTGCCTATGGACAAATTTAGCTTTCATCGCATCAAGACCTACTTTTTTCATCCCCTTGTACCATAGCTTCTGCTGCTTGACCCTTGGTTGGTCTGAAGTTTGATCTACTTACATCTCCTTCTGAAGGTACCTCACTGACAACAGCAGGGGATGCAGCCATGTCTCCATCTTCTTCAGTGCCAGGGGCTACATAGGAGCCTGACATGGAAGACATGGTATCTGTGCTGATTTCGGAGTGCTGGCTTTGGGAGGAGGCCATGGACATGACTGACTGAGCCAGACTGCTACTAACAGGATCTAAGGGAAGAAGGGAGGTGGCAGACAAGACACAGTTGGAGAGACATGTTAGAGGAGCCACCCTTGCTGATCACTGTTACAGTATTTGCATTTCACTATTTGCAATCTCGAAAATGGTGGGATAAACTTTAACAAACAACAAACCAATCAACCAGAAGTATTTAAGAGAGCCCCAGATCCAGCCATGGTTCTACTCTGAACAATTACATTTCTTGTGCTCAGATTACAGTCAATAGGCTCCATAACCTAGCTCCTACCCCACTCCACTCTTTAAATATATCCAACGTCTGCTTATAGGTCTCTGGACAGCTCATAAAAAGTTTGTTCAGCTCAAAGCCTACAGATGAAGCTATAAACTGGCAATTTTCTTCACAAATGCAATAGCGTAGCTCACAATAAGTTAATTAATACAGTATCCTGGAATACAGGAGATAGAGGCAGCACATATGCGAAAACATTAATTTGGAACCAGGTTACAGATTGGATGTGCATCAGGTTCTTATTATTTATCCACTTCTGAAAATCTTGCCAAGAAAACCGCAGGACTAGTTAGAAAGTTGCCAGGAATCAACACTATTTCAAAGGCACAAAAATTCAACTTACATCAAGCTGGAGGCAGAAAAGTGATAGGAAGCACCTTTTCTACTGTACCTTCTGGGGAAGAAATGGTAGAAGAAAGAGGTGTTCCTGTGCATGAAGACTGATCTATTGCTCCTGAGGAGGATAAGGTGAGATTTTCACTCTCAGGTGTCACACCACATTCCTGAAAAACAGGGAAACATAATCTATAATAAAAAACTATTGCTGTAAAGCAACTATTAGAAACTGGGTGCTCAGTCTGACCACTAGAATAGCCTTCCCCAACCAGGGCGCCCTCACTATGTGTGGATTTCAGTTCTAGAACTTCCCAGCCAACATGGCCATTACTGAGAATTCTGAAAGGCATCAAGGGTGGGGGAAACAGGTAGAGTCTCCCAAATTACCTTTAAATTAGGAAAGATGTGAGAATTAGAGGAAAATTTGGAAGATCTTGAGTCATTTTTTCCAAACCAACTCAAGCACTGGAAAATGTAACCTTTTCAAGATAGGCCTTATAAAATGTTACACCAGGGTTTCTCAACTTGGGAACTTTAAGATGTGTGGACTGCAACACCCAGAATTCCCCAGCCAGAATAGCTGGCTGGGGAATTCTGGGAGGTGAAGTCCACCCGTCTTAAAGTTGCCATGGTTGAGGAACCCTGCTGTACACCATATGTCTGCAGGAAGAAAAATGTTGAGCAGCAGCAAGGCTCATGTAACAATTAAAAAAAAAAAACCCACAGGAATATTAAAACAATCACCTCTTCATGAGGGCAGGGAGACTTCCTCCTGGAAATCCTGACTTCAGATTCACTACAAGTCTTATCTTCTTCTTCATGTAATACCGTAGAATTCTGTGAGATTGACCTGGTGAAAAGACACAATCTAAGAATGACTCCTTTGTAAGAAAAACACTGATTAGAATGCAGGGGGAGTCCCAAAAATGCTAAAGGAGACCCAAGTAGCCAATGAGAGCTAGCTAGGTACATTAGAAAGACAGTCATTGACACAGTGTTTGCAGGCACCTGTGAATAATAGTTGCACCTGTGACAATACTCGATGACACTCATGGGCCCTCAGCATTTTTTAAATTATTACTTTTTTAAGAAAATTGAAATGCCTAGAAATTCATGAGATCTGTGTTCTCTCATGAGAACCTGGCCATTTTTATTTATTTTTAATTGTAATAATAATTAAATAATGGTGCTTGTGTCACCACGCAAAATCATGTGATGGTATTCACTGTCTGAAAAGATTGCTGACCCCTGTATTAGAGACAGTAGACTTAAGGGATAGAGCCATATCCCTTAAGTTTACTGTCTCTAAGCCATAAGGCTTTACAGCCTATAGAACATCTACTGCAGTACAGGAGGGAGATGGCAGGAGTCCACTTACTTAGACAGGCTCTTCTTCAACTTAGGTCCTTGATTGCCACAATCTGACAAGCGTTCAAGGGAAGACAGTGTTCGAATGGGAGGCAAATGGCTGTCACTGCCATAGGAGGGTAGCATGCCTGACACATGGCTGTCCCCAAGCACATGGAGTGGAAGGGCTGCTGGGGATGGAGTGAGAGGACCATTAAGAGCTTCCAGCAAGGAGACCACTTCATAGCCAGGGGGGATGTTTTCTGAAGACTAGAGGAACAAAGAAGGATATAAGAAAGAGATGTTACTCTTGAACAGCAGGAACTGTTACAAGGAAGCTCAAGACAGAACAGAAAGCTCCAGAATCTCTCAAAAAGAGCAAAGCAGATAGAGAGACCAAGATCATTGATGGAAGAGTGGCCCTGCAACTCTGGAATCAGCTCCCTTCCTCCCTTCATCTCTTTGGAAATCTGATGGCCTTTAAAAGGAGGTTAAAGACCTTTGTTTGTGGTTAGTGGGCTAGTGCAGTGTCTAGTTTTTCTATCCTTTTTTTAGCTGAGAGGTCTATGTTAATACCTAGAATATGTACATATACACACTCACTCACTCCTATCCCAGGGCATTGTTTTAAGGTAGCATTATTGCTGGTTTACTGGGGTCTGAGCTAGTTTTACTGGATTGATTTGTAATTATTATCTTTTCACTGCTTTGTTTTATGCTGTGCCTTGGTCAAGGCATATAATAATTAATTAATAGTAGCTTAAGTTGAATGCTTTATTCTAGGCCAAATCATTTGGATTCCTTAGCTTGAAGAATTTCAGCTGGTAGACAAAATTATGGTTTTATGGCTTGAAAAAGGATAAATAGTTACGGAAAGAAACCCACACATACGCAGAGCAATCTTTCTGGACATAACTAGAAAAAACCTCTGTGGTCACATACTTCCATATTCTTGTCCTAAAAATAAAGACTTAGCTCACTCCTCTTGCAGATAGGTTCTTGACTCATACTTCTACAGATGACACATGGCACTTTTGTAGAAATGAGAAGAAAAATGGTCTATCAATTCTCCAAAAAGCAGACTGAATAAGATTAGGCTCAAATTCTCCTTCCCAGCATCAAGCTTTCTAAGTGCAGTTGTTTAAAGACAAATCAGTAAATAAGGAGGAGCATTTAACAATACAGTCTTCCATCTGCAGGCTGAAGCAGTATAGTTCAGAAAGCCTTACTGGCTTGGAATAGAGCAACCTAGTTACTGAGAAATTCCAGTTCTCCCCTAAACTTGATACTAGATCTGTGCTTAACTGTGGATGCACATTAAAATATAGCACAAGCAATAGCCTTAATCATCACATCTGCCAAGATGCCAGCAAGTTCTCTGGCTCCTGGTTCTCCGCCCTGGCTTCTGGTGCATCATGTTTATTTGCTTGATTCTGCCTGGGGAATGATGGCTGTGCTCCTGGAGCAATCTGGAGGAAAGATTGTAATTTTTTCTTCCTTATTTTTAGAAAATATATTTTGCCTTTTCATTGTTTTTTAGGAATCCCAGAGGATTTTTTGCTTCTTTCTTACTTGGCATTTGTACAAGTTAAAATGCTTAAACAAAGTATACATTTTTTTCCTCTAGAGTTGAGAAAGATAGTACACCTCTGAAAAACACTACTACTGTATTGTCTCTCTCACTTTAGTATAATTAATTTGAATAAGATAGTATATTTGTGCAATTTGTTTTCCTTCTGCACAATGAAGATATCCAAGTCTTTTCTTTTTTCACACTGTCAGCATGCAGTGGACATGGTCTGGAAATATGGACAAGTTCTTCTTCTCAAACATGGTCCTTCTTCTCAAACACAAGTAGGAACCCAATAAATGCTGCCTAAAGTGTGAATTGGCCCTTACTTCTCTTCAGAATTTTTCAGTGGATTTAGATAAGCTCTGGGCTTTCTACTCCCAGCTGTAATTCCATTGCCACTTCGTTGTCAGTGGCACTTCTTTCTGGATTACTCCTCTACAGCACAGTTTTTAAACTTGGGAGTTTAAAAAAGCCTCATGGTGCTCAACTCTTCTCCAACAAAAGAATGAACAGCCCAGAAGACCATCTCAGCCAAGATGAGGCAGGATCAGCATCTGAATAATTAGTCTTCCAATACTCACTGAGTGTTCCTCTGAGTCTGATGTCTGGGATGCAATGATAGGGTTGAAGTTGGTGGGAGAAAGGGGTCCCATTTTTTTTCTCATAGCTCTGATCTGTAGCAAGGCCCGAAATGCTGTGAGGAAGAGATGGGAGATGGAGGGGGAAGGAAATAAACAAATTTCAAATTCTGCTAGAAATTATTCTGATAAACCAACTGGGGCAATAGCTGACTATGACCACCAAAATTCAGCTAAATTATGGTCATGATTGGCTACACTATCCTTTTTCCTCTGACAGTTATTAGTTAAATAATCTTAGCCTATCTTGGGTATACGTGTTGTTCATTTCTCAGAGGGAGAAGTTCAAACAGGTTAAGCATCTGATCTTCTACAGAAGACCCAATCTCAAAATATAAAAAAGGATCAGGACTTACGCAATCTACAGATGGGACAATTGTTAGCTTGATAGCGCAAGGTGTCAGCACAGGTATTGCAGAGACAGAGATGGCGGCAAGGTAAGATCAAGGTGTCCCGGACATCGGAGAGGCAGACTACACACTCTGCACTATTGTCACTCACCTCATCCTCTGCCACCTGAATGGAAAAGCTTGCTATAATCGGTATGCATGGCCTTACAATTTCCATAGTGAATTTGAATCATGAAAAGACATTCCGAAGGGAGGGAAGGAGGGAGGGAAGGAAGGAAGGAAGGAAGGAAGGAAGGAAGGAAGGAAGGAAGGGAGGGAGGGATTTCTAACATAGAACTTTCCAGACAATCTGGTCAAGACTGTGTACAACATGTACACTGTTCTGCATCTTTAGCTCTAGTTCTCACCTTTGAATCCTGTGTGTTGTATTTGTTTTCTATCCCATAAATTTCCTGAAGGAGATAGCTCACTCCATCGACCTAGAAAAAGCAACACACTGAAGTTACATGGGAAAGTAGGAGTTGAAAAGGGATATGAAGCTCCAGAAGTAGAGATTGCAGATAGCCTGAGAAACAACTCTGTTCTATTTTTTTCCAGTGAAAAACTGCATTATCTAATCTGAACAGGCACCTTTCCATAGTATGAGGAAATCGTCTTCATGCTTCCAGTGAATTGGTGACAACCTTTCTTTTTACTCACTTGTTGATATAAAAGCTCTTTGCAACCAATACTGTTGGAAATGGGCTGCATGGCCATCAAATTCCTTGGCATTGCACCAGCAGCTTTTCCTAAAAAGTAACAGGAACTAATATGTACAGAAAAGCAGAGAACCTGATCCCACCAGCCACACACTCACCACTTGCTTTTGTTTGAGGGGTTTCACACAAAAGCCGCCATCTGCATGCTGAGAGGAAGAAACACAAATGTTCAGGTGGACTTCAATATCATAGTTCATCAAAAGAAACTTTACAGGATAGGTGTGATGAAACAGAATTCACTCCCTAAAACACGACTGTACACCACAGAATAGAACAAAGAAAATGTATCCTATTCACGTCATGCCTGCCTTGTGCTTCAGAAATTTAACAATCGCTCCCTTTTTAACTCAGACCATTTTTACTCGCCCGGCATTAGTCTATGTAACTCCACTGCTCAAAAAGGACCACTATATTCATAAACTTCATTATATATTTTTCAACCTCGTGTCTATATATTTTTATTTATTTATTGTTTACATTGGTTCAACCTCATACATTCAACATGGGAACTTGGGTTCATGCATTTTGCACAAGGGATCAGCAAGAACACCATGTTTACCTTCTCAAAAGTTGCCAGCAATACATGGCAGTGACCCATATGCTCTGCAAGACAAGATCAAAGTTGAGGTTGAGAATGACACGCACTTATGCAGAAATTGATGCAGACTGCTACTTTTTTCCCCTGCAGCTGTCCTTAACAGAAGTAGTTTTAACTGACCAAAATTATAATCAGGATAATTAAATATGCATATATGATTCATTACAGATGCCTTTCTAAGGGTTTTAGTTACTAATGATATTCAACAGGGCACACAATCCATTTAATTGGAAGTAATTTTTAGAATGTATAGTGACAACTTGCAAGACATGCCAGTTCACTTCCCAGCTCCATGTGCATCTGGAGGATACTAATTATTTACACCCATTCCAATTTAGCTTTCAGTGGGAATATGGTACTGAGGTCATTTTGTTTGTCTTAATGAAAACCTATAGCTGAAACTGAGTGGGGAAGTACGATCCCATTAGTTTTCCTGGATCTCTAAATGACTTTTGATACATTGACCATGCTTTCAAAGAAAACTGGGATTTACAGTGGTCCCAGTCCTTGTAGGCCCATGTCCAGAAGGTGATGCTGAGTACGGTCTTGTACTTTGGTTAATAGGGTGGCAGCATCCTACAGGGTTCCATCTTGGGCCCATCCTATTCAATAGCTACCTGAAACCACTGGAGGAAGTCATCTGGAGCTCTGGAACAGGTGTCACTAACATGCTGATGACACCTAGTTCTGTTGCTCCTTCCAGCCAGCTCCAAGAAGCAATTGGTAGCTGGTTAAGTTCAGTAACAAGCTGGGTAAAGGAGAACATCCTGAAATTAGATCCAGAGAAAATGGAGGTATTGTTGCTAAGTATGAAACTGAAATGAGATACACCTTGTTTTGGATAGGAATGCAATCCCCATGATAGAGTAGGCTCACAGTTTGGGAGAACTTCTTGTTCTTCACTGGATTTGTGGGTGATGGCTATGGCAAGGAGCACGTTTGCACAGTTAAGGTCAGTATGCTAGCCACAATTCTTCCTAAGCCAGAGAGATTCAGCAGTGCTTACCCATGCTTTGATTACATCCTGTTCTGATGACTTCAATCTGCTCTACATAGGACTATCTTTGAAAAATGCCTAGAAGTTGCAACTAAAATGTATCAGCTAATTTGCTAACCTGCAGAAAATACAGAAATCCTATCATGTCTAATACTTTAAAAATTCCACTGAATATCCATTTCTTACCAGACACAACTATCACAAGTTGTGATAAACTTGAAAACCCAAAATGATTTAGTGACACTCTCTCTCGTTCCTTCTCTAATTAGGAGTCTGTCTGGCCATTAAGATCCACAGGAGAAGACTATCTATCTGGCACACAGGAGAAGGGTTACTCTAGTGGTAAAATGTTCTACCCCAGAATATTCTGACCCATTCCAGGGGTTGCAGAAGACATCCCATACAATGAAACAGGCTGTTTGGTGGATGGACCACCTCCAGAACACTAGGAGGGGTCAGAGTGTTCCGGGGAATGCTCTGCATCTCTTGGCCTTCTGTTCCATTGCTCCCAGGCAATGAAATACATCCATAGGAGCTTCACTTGTCCAACACCTCTCAAAATTAAAGGTGTATCTTCTTCACCATGCTTTTAGTAAGTGGTTCTAGTTTCAATTTTAATTTTTGAAAACTTAAAAAAAATTTGCTTGTCACTATTTCCTTAAACAGAAAAGTAAGCTATATACTACACAGAAGAACAATGAACCTTAAGAGCGTCCTTACCATCTCCCTCGTCTACCACTGCAAGAACCACCATGGGATAAACTTCACGGTCCAGATCAAAGCTCAGCTGCAAAGGATAAGGTAGTAAAAAGGCAAGTGACCTTAGGGGATGGGGTAAAGTACTGGTACATACAATTCTACATCAGCAGAATTATGACTACAATTCACATACTAATTCACTGTGCCCAGCAAGCATAACCGCAAGCTTGCAATTCTACAAATGCAGGCACCCAGAGAAATTCTCATTTAGAAAGGAATGTCTGGAAACGCTTTTTCTAAAAAGACAAACATACGTGAGTTACTCCATTGGTGTAATATATTCTGTTGATAGAAAAGATCCCTATTTTGTGCAGAATGCCTAGGCCCTGATGAAATAGGAGTTCAAATAGGATAATAGCTCAAAAACAGACTTTCTCAGGGTTAATTTTTTTTCAAGCCTGCTTCTACCTTACCTCTTCTTCAGTCCACTCTGAGGGATCAATAGTATGGGAAGGCAAACAGAACTGCTGGCATACACCTCGCTTGTAATGGACCGTCTCAGAGTGTAAACTGCTTTCCTTGGGGATGTAACTGCCAGAAAAAAGCAGATAACACAGAGTGAACAACCACACGCGATGCTTTTATTGTCTTCCCAACCTAGCAAAGAGGCTTCCAAGATGTGGAACACTCCACACATCATCTTCAGGCAGCCCTTTTTAAAGCTACTGTCTGACTGACTCATAAAGTCTTTCTTGTTCCAGCAGTCAAGTTATGTATCATTTCTGCGTGCCTGTAATATGTTTTATTGATACTGCTGTTTTAGAAATTTATGATGATCATTTTAATTGCAAAGCTGCACTGAAAAAGTGCCTGAGCCCCTGAAAGCTGTGTTAAAAATTCATCCCTAAACAAGTATGTTGTCATTGTCCTTTGAGTCAATCCTGACTCTTGGCGGCTACAGGAACAAGTCTCTGGAATTTTCTTAGCGACATTTTTCTGAAACGGCTTGCCAGTTCTTTCTTCCTAGGGCTGAGAGTGAGTGACTGGCCCAAAGCCACCCAGCTGGCTTCTGTGCCTAAGACAAGACTAGAACTCCTGGTCTCCTGGCTTCTAATCCAGCACTCTTAATCACTCCACCAAACTGGCTCTCATAAACCAATATATCCAATGCAGATATCACCCAAGACAAGAGCTCTTCTTTCAGGCATGACAGCATGTTTCATTTTCATGTTTGTTTTATCCCTCTCCAATTTGCTATTGTCTTGTTTACTGAGATATCAACTTCTCGAACGAAAAATCACTAACACTAATAGTAACCTGAGGTCTTATTTTCAGGGCAACCCAGCCTGCTGCCTTCATTAATTTCCAGCCATGCTGATCGATTAGAGGCCCTCATTTGCATCTTCATAACATCAGCATATTTCAGTTTAGGCTGGCTTTCAGCACACATCCACAATAGTACTGTTTAGAGAATCTGCAGTGATACATCACAAACCAATTCATGGTGCATCCTGTGTGTGTGGCCCTCAGAAGCTGTTCTAGGCTAAATGCTGCCATGCCACAGAGCAGGCAGGCATGAAGCTATGACTCAGTCATTCAAATTGTTCCAAGGACCCCGGAGGTCACCTTTTCAAGTGGGGCCATTAACCTCTGCTTAGCTGATTTCTTCTCCAGCATTCCAGCTTACCAAAGAGCTAGACGATAAGCAGTAACTTATTAGTTATGCCCTCAACTCTACAATCTTTTCTATTTCTGACCCTAATACCTGTCTTGCCTCTTGACTCCCCTTCCTCCATGCGTTTTTCTTAGCTGTCCATGTGAGTCGCTGTGTGAATTTTGTGCCCAGTCCCTATCAGAGACCCAGAGAGGGTGGGGCCACTTCTATTGTTGAAGCCCTTAATAAGTAAAAGTAACAACACATGACAACACAGATCAGAACCAAAAAAAGAGAGATAACTTGGCTTTATTTTTGTAGGATATTTTTCAAAAGGATACGTCTAAATGTGAGGTCCTTTTGAGGCTGGACCTCCTGGCCTCCCACTTGGGTGGGCCCTTATCTCATTTCTTCGCCCAGCACTGGAACTCAGTGTTAATGCCCCAGGCTTTGCTAGATGGCCTACCTATCAGCTTCATGCAAATGGTAATTAACTGACCAATGCTAGAATACTTTGTTACTGTAAACTGGGTTTTGTATACTATCACTGCCTTTATTTTCCATATTGTAATTTTCAGTTTCTGAGTTTTCCAGAATGGCGGGGGGTTCTTTTGCAGTATTATTTCCTTCTGAACTTATGATTTTCATTTTTCCTTATTGGAATATGTGTGGTGTGCATATTACATGCATGTATGTGCACGTGCACACATACAAACAAGCATATGCACACTTGCCACTCAGATCAGGTGAGGTTCATCTAGTTCTTTATATTTAATTGCTGATTTAAGATGTTATAGAGCTATTTATACCATACATATCCAAAACATATTGGGAAATTCTTAAACCTTCTACATTCTGGCTCTTGGCACATAGATTCATTTTACCTAATGTGTAGTTGCTTGTCATGAGTTAAAATGAATTTCCTCAGAGGAGTGCTCTTCTTGGAAAATAATACCATTTTCACTGTTATTCAATCTGCAGTATTTTATTGCTGGGAAAAATGTAATTCCTTTACAAGATAATGCCATCATTGTGATGGGAAGTGCTATGCTTAATAGAACTGCATTGACACCTATTAATTTTATATTATATTAAAGGAAGCCACTCAAAAATATATTAATAAGTTTAACCCTAGCATTATCATCCTGTTCATTCCCAAAGCAAGGCTCTTTTTGTTGCAAAGATGATAAGCGGGCTAGATAGAATTTGCTTCTCAGGATACTGTAAGGGAATATTCTCCTAAGGGATAAAAGACAACAAGGAGTGTTCCAACTACCTCCATGCATTTAGCCATTGGAGCCATTACCTCCATTGCATTTAAGAGGATGACAGTGCCTATTCATTCTGCTGCCAATTTTTACATTTTCCAAACTCCATAATTCAGCACAATTTCTGAACCTAGACTCTCCCAAGAAATATGGGCCAAAAAAAAAAAAAAAAGATACTGTGAACACATGTATAAACAGATACTATTTTCAAATATCACACACCAAACATGGGGATTAACAGGACCAGTCTTCTTGCTTCACTTACATCAATCTCCTTGAATTGAATTTGGTGGAAGCTACCTGGACAGTGAATCCAGCAGGTAGGATCAAACTCTACTGCATACTAGGAGGAAACCCCTTGAAGCAGCTAATTGCCTTCTGTCGACACAAGGGTACAGTCCTTTCCTATATCCACCGCAATTTAAATCTGGCACTTTTTTTCTCTGCCTTTCCTACAGCTTGATACTATGGACCTATCTACATTTCTACCCTAGAAACTCTAGCTTTCAACTTACTGGATATAAATGAGGAGAGGTCATCTGAGCATTTTGTACAGTTACACCTTGGTTACAAATTTGCAGCTTCCAGAACAACAGAGAGCCCTGTCCACTTTTCTTCTAACCACTGATCAGTAGCAATGAGGTGCAAGCACTCCCTTTCCACAGCTCTCCTTTGATTTACCTCACCACTCCATTCTGGAATTCTTCAGTGGCTTGATAATAAATGGTTATGGCCACCCGTGCATCTGTGTCAAATGTGAACTCCACATTATAATGGACTTTTGCTTTGCTGACTTCTTCTCCTGGTGTCTTCACTTCCTCTGTGCACCTAATAGAGCAAAACAAAGTACCCAAATATGTAGTTTTGTACAAATGCAGGAGACCCTGCATGTTTTTTAAGGAGTGATTTGGGGACTTCTGGATGGAGTAGCCATCCCAACAAATCTGGAAGGTGCCAAGTTGGAGGAGGCTACTATATGATTTTGTATGTATAAAACAAAATAACTAGTACAGTCAATAATTGCCTCTGGATTCTTAGGGACTCTAGACCAGGGTTTTCCAACTGTGTTCCATGGCACCCTAGGGTTCCATGAGAACCTGATGGGGTTCCGTGAGAGACTAAGGGCAAAAAAAATGTTCACTCAAACATAGCCAATTTTCCCTAACTAGAATTACAGTTCCCATGGCCTGAAAAAGTCTGGCTCTAAACCATAACTAAAAGAGAAGGTATCGCCTTCTCTTGAACTACTATCTCACTGTCTTCACTGGGACATACCTAGAGCAAAGGGTTCTTGAATCCAGGGTAACTCTTTCACTTCCCAACTTAGCATTGTCACAGGCTTTAGTGACTACACCAGGAGTTTATGTACCCAAAGCTTTTGTGGGGATTTTCCCCCCCCCTAAACATTCAAGAATTTCTCTATTTTTTTTCTACAGAAGGAATGTCTAGTGGTAGGTTAAGAGACTGTTTTCTGATGCTGAACTCAGAAATCAGCAGCTGAGCATATTATTTTGTATACAGAAAGTTCTTGGCATCTCCTGGTAGACCCGAGAAATTTCCTAATGTAAACTGAAGACAGCTTGCTGGGCCTTTGATTGTTGCAAACATAAGGAGGCTTTTAATGTTCCTATGTGTTGTTTCCATTCTTCTATGTTGAAATTACAATATTGGGATTTGCTAGGAAAATGTGTTGCTGCTGTTGCTTACTTCAGCTAATATTGTAACTGAGGATGACTGAGATATACCTATCAGCTGTATCACATGCCTTCTAGCAAAGTATGCACTCCTCTTCCACTTTTCCAATGTTTCTTTTTAATAAATAATCCAAATGTTTTTTACTATATCCCTCTTACATACATGTTAATCTGCTATTTGTCAATTTGAGGGAACAGCAGCAATTGCCTATTGTCTGCCAGGAGTTTCCAATTTTCCCTTTTTTCTCTTAAGGACTACATTGTGGGTTCTCCTCCCATGCTGGACTCTACTATGGTTGGGGGGTGGGAGTGCGGAAGACCAACACGTTCATCATTTCCCCTGAAGGCTGTGCTACCTTCAGCAAGAGTTTTCACACTGCCACCAGTGATAACAAGGGAACAGAACATGACCGTGGGTGCTGAAACAATTCTGCAAAAGCACTCAAATCCCAGGCTGTTACAGGGACAGCGTTTGTGCAGGATCACTGAAACTCTGCAGTATGAGAACAGAAGGGATCAAGGACAGGAATATGAAATCAGAAAGCAGATCCATTAGTGTAATAAAATTCTTCCGGGTCTTTACTGAGAAAGTGACGGTTGCAGATTATCCGCCTGATTTAATAAAAACTGACACTGCTGAACTGCAGGATGAAAAGAATGAGTAACACCTATAGCCTTGCTTGCATGTTTTACATCTTTGCCTATTGTTTGGATTCTCTGGAGAAAGCCACAGACTTGTTACCTTTGTAAAAACAGAGCAAACCCAAAGGAATACATGCCAGTGCATTTACATAGAAGCATTTTAAATGGCTTCCATTGCAAGGATGCCTGTTTTAAGCTGCGCTTTAATACATTTAATTTCTGAACGCGCTTGTATGTAGAACAAGACACAAGTTCTAGATCTCAAAATGCGAGGGGGAAAAAGGTTGTAGAGAACAGTTAGCAACTAAATTCAGGGCATATTAACTTGGTAGAGAACTCTCCTTTACTGTGGCCTGCTCATAATTGCTGTTATGCCATCCAGAGTCCAACAATTTAGTTCTCAGGACTGAAGAAAGGGGCACTGACCATTAAGAAAGTTCCCCCTCCTTCAGGCAGATCTAAACAGTTACCACTGATTCCCCTCTAATCCCACCCTAGCAACAAAAATATATTTAATTCCATTTAAATCCTATTGTCACCTGTACTGATCCTGAAAGCCAGGCGGGGAAGATCAAGGCCAAAAAGAGACAAGCAGCTGGTCAAATCATCTTACACAATACTGCAGAAACTCCTCTCCAGAATAGTTCACACTTAATCTCCGTGTTAATCTTGAGGAGCTGCACACGGATATGCCCTGCTGCACAAGAGCGGATGGACTGCTTCCAACAGGCAACATCTGTACATAACAGTTGTTCAGAGCTAATTCTCACTTTACTTTTTGAAGTCAAGTTCAAAAAGTACCACCAGGCTTTCAAGAGTCTCAAACCACATGACACTGTGAATTAGGGGCTGACCTATGTGGTTGAATAGCTGTATTTACCAATTAAAGAAACGCACAAAGATGGGGACTTACCATTGTTTTTCGAGTTTGATGGGAGCTAGGAAGCCTCAACTTTTATATTACAAGTACAATCAGAAGAGGACAAGAACTGGTCCACCTAAATATGTGTCAGAGGGAAGCTTGCCTCTTCTGATATATTTGCATTCTGTACAACTGATGTCACTGCATTTAAAAGCTGCAAAGCTGCTGTTGTTCTTCTTAACCCAGATTTGGAAAAGTAAAAAAAAAAAAAAATCAGCTCCAAGTCATCTAAAGAGAGGATCAGCCTTGCTCGATAGAAATAGCTATAATGGCATGCTTTAAACTGTACAGCACCTATGCCAATATACTAGACAAGGGAATTTGGCCAGCAATGTATTTAAACTTATATATCAAAGTTTCCAGTTAATTAAGCCATGAAATCTTTGCCAACTTATATTTTGCTTTTCATGTAGAAGGTCCCAGTTCATTTCCTTGCAATTCTACCCTCAGAGGCCACAGAAAGCTGAGTTAGAAAGATAAAATCCTTGGAAAGCTGGTGCCAAATCAGAGAAGCCAACTTTGACCCAGATTAGCCTTTCCAGCTTGGGCTTTGAGAGATGCTGGGATGATAATTCCTTGAATTCCCAGCCAGCATGACCAAGGTGGCTTGGAATTATGGGATTTACATCTGGAAGGAATAAGGTTGAGAAAGGCTGGTCCAGGGAGCAGCAAATCTGTTTCTACCAAACCATGCCCCTGGCCGGTCTAACTTTGTATTCTCTTCTGCAGCTCCTAGGTAAGCCCATTCAAGCAAACAAGTTCCCTTCAAAAAGCCTCAAGCCACAGGAAGCCCCATTCACTACAAGTCATTTTAATGCTAGGCAGTCCTCTTTGTTTGGGTATTTTTTCCTGCTTTGATTCAGTTGGAGGTTCAAAGTGCAAAACAAATCCCTGTTCTGAAACCACCAACTTACTTGACTAAACGCAGTGTGTCCTTGCGGATGTTGATCAGGCTCCTCAAAGTTTTCACTGGCTCCTGGGGAGGTGGGGCTGCATATGGAAACTAAACAGAATGCAAGAGGAAATACAAGGTTTAAATACTGGAGTATAAGTCAGACTATGAGGCCTAAACTGCAGTGAATAAATGAACCCTTGTCCAATCATGCATAATCAATACAGCCTAGACATGTGTTACTGACTCTTAAGAGCGAATGAGAGATGAGACCTCCCAAAAGATCACAATATGCACTGCATTATGGCCCAAAGCTCAATTAGCCTCGGGCTCTTTCCTGAATTCTGCAATTCAGAATGTGCTGTCTCAGAAGCAGGATCTGGCAAAATGACAAAAACAGCACTGTACCATCACAACACAATTTCCACCTCTTTTGCATGTTAGCCTGGAATTGGGCAGCCAAAAAATTTCAATCAATCAATCAATCAATCAATAAAAAAAATATTTATCCGGTATACCAAGGAATGTGCAAAAGGGCAGAGCTTACATTGGATCTTTAAACTGTTCTCTGAAGATCTCCTTTCATCCCTTTTGGGATGCCTTCTCTCCCACCTGTCCTTTGGCTTATTCTCAACAAGACAAGGACGATATAATATTGTGAAGGGTGCTGAAGTCAGTAATAGCAAATATATGAAACCTTCTGACTTGAAGTTCAGATTTGTATATATCCAGGGATGTACAATAGAAATGTACTATATAAGGCCAAACCTATTCACACACCAAGTTGCTTGTGTGTGTGAATATGTGTATATATATATATAT